TCAAGAGCTAGTGTTCCTCAGTGTGTGGACGTCTATATCCAGTTCCCCAGGGCAGAGGGTAAATGGTGCCGGTCCTGACATGGAGGAGCTCTTGCTATTTTTCTTTTCATTCACCTCTTGTCTTTTGTTGTTCTCTGATGCCAGGAATGTAAACAAGGTAAGTTCATTCCCTCCCCTCCTCAGGGTGGGAGGTCCTGTAGGACTCTTGATAGAATAAATCTTTGAAACATGCTATATTTCACCAAGTATGTTACTACCACTTTTTCTCCCGTTGAACAAGATGCTGGAAAAAAATAAACAAACAAACAAAACCCCCAAAAGTCTTGGAGACAAGTTTATAGTTCTCTATTTCTTTTTTTTTTCAAGACAGGGTTTCTCTGTGACTTTGGAGGCTGTCCTGCAACTAGCTCTTGTAGACCAGGCTGGTCTGGAACTCACAGCAATTCACCTGCCTCTGCCTTCCAAGTGCTGGCAGCTCTCAATTTCTACATCATGAAAAATCACTGCTACACCAAACATCTTAATGATGCACCTTAGGTTCAGAGGCTAAAAATAAAATAGACCAACCCAAACCCCAAAGCAATTATGAGAAAGCATAAGAAAGATCCAAGCTGAAATAAGTGGTCACTTAGAACAAAGAAAGATCAAAACAAAGATCTGGTGATTTGAAAGAGTGAACAAGCCTGACAAACCCTCGGCCTGCATCACCCAAAGAGAAGATGCAAATTAAGATACGAAGTATGAAAGAAAGACAAGTAGGGTCTATGGGAATCCTGGGTGTATATATGATGCAAGCTAACTCTAGAGAGTTGATAATTCTGAAAGATTTCTTGAATCATAAAACAACATTGATAAGATGTTATTACACCTATATACCACCTGTTGCCTTCTAGCTACTACACTCTAGGAGTGATGATCAATTCTGGGGTATTAGAAAACATGTAAACTAATCAATTTGGGGATAAGATGGAAAGAGTAATACTATTTCTGACCAGCAGTTTGCATGATAGATCTTAACTACTGGCCTTATAATAGGGACTGATACTCCTAAGATGCATCACCAAATATGCTAGGAAAGATAATTCCAAGCAGTCTGTAAGGCAGTATTACCCTGAGGCTGAACCCAAAACAACTAACACACACCCCCACCCCCCCCACACGAGCATACTCCAATATCCTTGACGAGGATCCACTTGTACATCTTTGGTACTTCACACAAAGTTTAAAAAGACATGACATAGTTGATGCTTTATGTTTACAGTGAGTTGAACAGGGAATCCTAGGATAATTTTATGGGGGAAACTATTTGACCACAAGCATGAAAGCAGGTCAAGTGAGGAGGCCCATGCTCAGCCATAAAAAATGGATTTGTGTCATTTTCTGAAGTAGAAATAGACGATTGACATGGATCTTGTGTCTGTAACCCCAGGTTCAGAGAGATGGGGATCCTGACTAGAGCCATGAAGCAATAGGTAGAACCTTAACTGAAATGGGGGCCTTTGGGACATGTAAGGGGAAGCTGCAATGTAACAGAGCAGAGGAAATGATCCCAGGTCACTCTGCATCCCCAAAAGTGTTACAGAGGAATGGATGCCTTACATCACACAGTTAAGGTTTAAAATGAGAAAAACGAACCAAAGTAGAACATGGCAAATTTTCTTTTTCAATGGACCAGTTAAGCACAAGCATTGAGTGCATGGATCAAAAAGGAAAACAGGGTACAAAATCCAACAAAGAGGAAAATCTTTCAGTGTCACAGTCCAAGAGATTAGGGAAGTTCAATTTATCCAGTTTATCTGGACCAATGGATGCTCTCCATCCAACAGGAGTTTCCCTACAACATCAAGACAAACAGCAGCCCACTGTGAACAAGTTTCATAGCTTCTCACAGAGGCTTTTTGTGATGTCACAGTAAGGAATGGACCAGTGAGAGCAGAGAATAATGCAGAGATTCCTCTATCTAGTACAAGGGACTGTATAATTTTTGTCATGACTGTGAGCAAATCCTCAGTGAGATGCAAATTAAGGGCAAAGGGTAACTCAACTCTCAGGCTCTCAGAAGGAGGAGGAATGACAGATGACAAGCTTGGGACTTGGGCAGATGGGTCTAAAACAGCTGGGTACTTGACTTTGGTAGTTCCCCCCTCCTCCATCCAGTCACCCAATTCCCCCTGCTGCTTCCCATAGCCCTGGACTTTTATGACTTCCCCAGACAGCACCTCCTGTCCAAGCCTTCAGATACATGAGAAGGTGTGAGACCATTCCTATCACACCTTGAGGAGGACACGTTAAGAACACAGTAACACTGTAAAAAGTGCCATAGTCACAAGGTGGACAGACTCAGGAAGTCTGTGCTGCTTGTTAGGAACATGGGTATGGGCTAGTCGGAGAATGAACCCTTTAGGGCCCTTTGCATTAGGACACTGAAGTTCTTGAAGAATTCTTACTACAGACATCACCTCTACACTTACAATAGTCAATTCATTTATCTAAAATTCATATAGATGGTTATCTAAAGGATGGTAGCCCTCCCTGACACTGGGATGCTGTAATGGAATGGGTTGTACCTCATGATGCACATGACATGTCTTTGGTCCTTTTTGCAGGGTGTTGGTCTGCAACATAGCAAGTATGGAAGATAGTTACCAGGACAGATGTGCTTAAATATTTAAGTGCTTCAAAGATTTTAGGAGATAATACCAATGGTAGATGTGATAAGCTTACACATGTTGATGAAATATCTTTTTGTTTTACAGCTTGTCCATACTAATAAAACTTTTTAAACCTATGGACTGATAGTGGTAAGCCTGCATGGGACCGAAATAGGCCCTCTGAATTTGGGTAACAGTTCTGTGGTTTGATCTGTTACGAGAAGCTGGCAGTGGGATCAGGACCTATCTCAGGGGCATGAAGTGGTCTTTTGGAGCCCATTCCCTATAGTAGGATGCCTTACTCAGCCTTGAAACAGTGGGGAGGGTTTGGTCCTGCCTCGACTTGGTATGTCAGACTTTGTTGACTCCACAAGGAAGGCTTTACCCACTCTGAGGAGTGGACAGGAAGTGGAAAGGGGGGTGGCTACTGGGATAAATGAAAAAATTTAAAATGAAATTTAAATAAAAAACTGACATTGTCAAAGAACCATGCCTAAGTATAGAAATATGAGGCTAGTAAAAAGAAATTGAATTGAAAGCACAAAGTAAACCCAGAACCAATTAAGAGATATAAATCAAAACTAACAAACCAGGAAACAAACTCACTATTTGGATGTCAAAGCCGATGAACAGTGTCTGCTTTTTGGAGGTAAGTACTATCAAAGTCTACAAAGTTTACATGAACCAACAGCTTTGCTGGAAACTAAGCAAAAGTTTCTCTGCAGTGCTAGTCAGTGCCTCATGTGGGCGGAGTCTGGGATTCCTCGTAGTGGCTTCTGTGAGGTCATAGGAAATGAACCAATCACAGTTATTCACAACCATTTAAAGCCATGTCAGCACTGGGGATGGTGTTCCTGGAAGATAAAGTCCTTCCTGGGGTGGATGCTCTCAGCAATGTTTAGTATTGTCCTGCCTTTTGGCTCCTATGCACAGCCCCTAAGTCAACTTAGTGTGTTTTCCCCAACTCCGTTTGGTGTTAGCACAAGATTCAGTTAGTGGCGGAGATGCAGCACCAGGAACCCTTAAACAGTGCACAGCATCTCAGCTCGTCTTTATTGCATCGGGATTTGTCTACATTCCCTTAGTGGCTAAGTGCATTCTAGAGTTCATCTATTTACGTTCTGCATACAAAAGAAAAGTGAGTTATAAAAGCTTAGTTCTCTTTGAGTAGCCTCTGGTTAGCTTTGCCATTGTTAATGATGCAGCATGGAAATAAGGCGAAATACCAGCTGTAGGTTTGGAGAAGTTGACACTCTATTAATAAACATGTCCACTGAAAAAAACAAAACACAAAACCCAGAAATTCCCCACCTTCTGTCTCTAAGGACTGTGTTAGTTTCCTCACTGCCATGATCAATTCTCTAAGAAGTTCGAGGTCGGACTGGACCGATAGCCTCCAAAACAATACAGAGAAACCCTGTCTCGTAAAAAACCAAAAACCAAAAAAAAAAAAAGAAGCAACATGTAGTACATTTTGCTTTGACTCAAGCTTTCAGCAGGACAAGGAAGCCATGTCTGGGGACTTGGGAAGATGAGTTTGAAGTAGTTGCTTACATGACTTTGGCATGTCCTATTGCTTCTAAAGACCCAATTCCTCCTGCTGGGTACTACAACCATGGGGTTTTACAACCTCCTGAACAGCAGCCCCTGCTGGAGATCAAGAACTCAGACTTGAGATGACATGAGACCTCTCACATTCAAACCTTGAGGAGGACATTTGGACTTTAATAACAGCAGCAGTAACAACAAGAATGGACTCAGTCAGCTTTGGGCTAGCCTGGGTAAATGCCATGGTTATGAATTAGATAGAATAAACACACAGGCTTCTTTAAGGTCATTTTTCACTCAAATCCTCAAATTCTCTAATGATTCCAACTAGTGCAGACCTCGTTATCTTTACAGTCATGATCCTCAATTCCTGTTCCTTATACTCATATTTATGGACATCAAAAGGATGACAGCCTGGCCACGACACTGGAGGCCATGAAGAAATTGTTCCTCTAGATTCCCCAGAACATGTTTTGTGTAATGAGTGGTGTGGTGGGCAGAAGACTATTAACATGATAAGGGAATTTATAACCACAGAGAAAGGCTGAGGGAAGTAACAAAGCAGATGGGTATACTCCAACTCCAAGTGCCTGGCAAAATCAAACTTTTCTTTTCCAGCTAATATAAACTTTACAAGAGGTAAAGCACTAAACCAATGTACAGAATGTCAAAGATAAGTGGATAGAGAATAATAGAAGATATTGATAATAAGATAAACTGAAGCTCATGCACAAACTAAATCTCCAAAAATACTATGTCAAAATGTAGGCACAAACCCAACCCACTGGTCAGCACACTCACGATAATTCAGGTCAGCGGTGATCACAGATGTCTAGTTCCAAAGAGGGACAATAAAAAATAAAGCTCTCAGGACTAAAGTCTTGAGTCAAGTCCTCGGCAGCCAACCAACAGTTTCACTGTGGCCTAAGGACAATTTCCAGGCCCAGTGAGTGCCTTGTATGGGTGGGCCATTCTCATTCCTCACAATGGTCCCTTGTGAGGTCAGAACCATGGGCCAATCACGGCTATCTAAAACCCATCATAGTTTTTTAAGTGGTTTGTTCATGTCTTCTCCAAAATTAATGCCAAGGCTCCAGAGAGGCAGAGGTTCTTTTGGCTCTGGCTTTCAGAGGATCAGGCACAGTATGGTGGTGGGCTCAGCTGGTGGCTGGTGGCGCTGGCAGCAGGGCATAAGGCAAGTGCTTTGATAGCATTGACATCTCCTCATGCTCAAGCCTACTTAAAAATCCTTGTTTTCTGGGCTACTCCTAAAATTGTTTTCTGTGTCAAATTCACAAATCCCGATTTGGCCTGAGTCCCTAAAAGCTTAAGAGTGCTGCTGAAGGTGACAGTGTGAAGCTAGGTTGCTGTTATCTCAATGACTGACATTTCGGGACCCTATGACAAGATCCATCTCGGAGCATTGGTGCTGAATTTCCCCAACAGTGGACTGATCTACTGTGTGAGTGTGGCTTGCATGTTATCTTGTGGGCTTCTTGGCCAGAGATGAACTTAAGAGTTTGGTAAGCACTACTGACACCAAAGACAGAAATCTTGTAGCCTGGCTGAAAGCCAGAAATGCCCTTGGAACTCTTGGCAGCCTTGTCCTTGCCAAAGACCAAAGTTGCCAGAAGTTTGAGGGTTCTTATCCCTGACCTTGTTCCTAAATGATTTTAGGGTTACCTGTTCAGAGGATGAAATATTATAATAGCAATGAATGCCCAGTAAGAAAATAACTCCCTTGGTCAAGAGAATAGAATTTCTGGGTAGAGACCTCATATTCCATGTGGACTGTGTCAACCTGGCCAAGGGGTCACCCCTAGAAGGCAACATCCCCTTAAGTCATACCAGAGGTAGAATGATGTCTTTAGTAAACACTGCACTGCCCCCTCTTAGAATCTCCATTTTCTAGCACAGTATCTTACAGTGCAGCCACACTGGTTCACATGTCTGCCCCCTTTCCTGAACTACTCAGAAAATGTAACTTTTCATCGTTTCTGATCTACCCACTTGCCCTCACATTCTCACTCCTTCTCTAAGCTTTCCTTCCTGCCATGTGACTGTTTGTCTGTCCCGGGTCTGATCTCCATGAGTAAAGGGAATGTATTTTCTCCCCCTCTTCTCCATTCTCTGCCACGAGGTACTTTTTCTTTTAAACAGGAATAAAATTTTCCTTGAGTGAAAACCAAATCTTGCATTCTCATCCATGTTGCATTTTAGGATCAGATGGAACAAAACATGGGTTTTCCAGGGGGCAGCATCATAATTGGTGATCCTTTATAATCTATACTTTCAACTTTTTTTTTCATTTTCTTAGAAGACCTGTGGCCACTTATCCATTTATTTTCGTACAACAAAATGATTTTTAAGGTTTATTTTATATTGGTATGCATAATTCAAATGCATATTTAAATATGCTTAATGATCTTAAAAGGCCCAGGGCCTGCTGATGGAGAGGGCTTAAGGGTTCTCAAGCTTCCTAATGCTGTAACCCTTTAATACAGATCCTCATGTTGTGGTGGGCCCCCAGCTGTACAATTCTCTCATTGCTTCCTCATAAGTGTAATTTTGCTACTGTTATGAATCCTAATATAAATATCTGTTCTGATTGTCTTGGCTGACCCTGTGAAAGTATTGTTTTTTCCTCCCAGAGGGCTTGCTGGGTAGGACACTTGATGTTGAGCCTAACAACCAGAATTGGATTACCAAGATCCACAAGATTTAAGGGGAGAAGTAACTCCCACAAGTCATCACACACACACGCACACGCACACACACACACACACACACACACACACACACTTGTAGTGTTTCATGTGCACATATGCATGTATACTACCTGTGTGCCTGTGTGCAGAGGTCAGGTCATCATGGGCTAGAGTTGTAAACCACCATGTGGGTATAGGGACTGAACTTGAGCCAACTCTCCAGTCCCACTATAAACTTTTAAAAATTCAATGAAATAGGAATCTGAAGAGGTTATTCAGCAGTTAAGAGCACTTGCTGCCCTTGCAGAGCTCCTGGATTTGGATTAGAGCACCCATGTGACAGTCATCTATAATTCCACATTTCAGGGGACTCAGTACTTTCTTTAGATCTCTCAGGGCATAAGACACACACATGGAGCATACACACACACAAATAAATACACATACAGTAACAATACAGGTCTCAGCATCAGACTTTTCTTCATGAGGGAGTAGGAGTGTCTTGAATCCTTCCTCTGAAAATGCTAATGGAACACTGCAGTTGGTAGTTAGTGTAGGGTGTGAGGGGTTTAGAAAGATAAGGAGGATGAACATAAAACACATCACAAAGCCTGTGATGATGACTTGACCCTCGGACATGCTGTGATTTATTGAGGTATGTGAGTGTTACAGCTCTGGGACAGGGGTCAGAGGGAGGAGGTGAAGAGGGAAGGGGGAGGAAGGGGAGGAGGGGGAGAGAGAGAGGGGAGGGAGGGAGATGGGTTAGAGAGAGAACAGGTTGTACATGCTAGGCAATACTCTATCACTGAGCTATATCCACAACATTGGAATCATTTTATTTTTTGATGTAGACAGCAATAAGTGTAAACTTGCAGTGAATAGTGCTTTTGATACGTCTCACAGGAAATGCATGTTGTATTTCTATCCCTCATTGTTATTTAAAGAAATTTTTAAAAATTTCCATGTCTGTATTGATCCACTTCTTAGAACCTGTTCCCCATCTCAGGTTCTTACATTCTTTCCGTCCCCTCTTACACAATGTTCTCTGAGCCTCCGAAGGGGTGGTGTAGATGTCCCACTTAGGGTCATACACCAATAGTCACTTATCAATAGTTGGACCAGTTATGAGTGTCTGTATTAACTACCAGCCACGGGAAAAATCTCTCTGATGAGGGCTGGGAGTAACACCAATCTATAGTTACAAACACAGGACTGTTGGACAACCTATCCAATTAACAAAAAGCAGTTCTAAGTTCCTCCTGAGGGCATGGGACTACCTTATCCATTATGGTTTGAGAAGTTTACAGAACTATGTGAGAGTTCCCTTTTATGTAACAGGTCTCAAAACCATCTAGAAAGTTATCACCTTAATAGTCATGCCACAATTTTACCACTAGGTGCATCCTGCCTGGCAGATCATTATACTAGAGAATAAATACAAAAGAGAATAAATAGCAACTGGGAGATAGAAGCAACAGATAGTAAAACATCATTTAGTCAGGTACTCAAGTCATACAACAGAAACCAACTGGACAAACCCCATTGGAGCAGTCGGATGGGAATTCAAGATGAGAAGGTACTGGAATAATCATGTCCCATTGGATGCGACTTTTCCCAAAAAAGAGAAATAACAGAAGAAAGTTAACACCATCAAAATCAGGGGCTTATGAACACCCATTAGAAATCACCTGGGGAAACTGAAGCAGCCAGCTGAATTCTAGATTGAGTTTTTTTCCTCCAAAGATGAGTTTCCTATGGTTGAACTTCTTTCTTCTCTTTCCTGCTACAGGAAATTTTATGTAATTGGATACAAAATAATAGAACCTGTTAGAAACTGGCTATCTCCTAGCTGTTTGTAAGGACATTGTGGCTTTTTTTTAAACTCTTGGATGCTTTTGCTGTTTTTTTTTATTGGGGGGTCATTTCCTGACAAAGGCCTTTGGGGACACTTTGAGATAAACATGGTTGGGTCTGAAAGGTTGGGGAGGGAAACTGCTTCTAGAACTACCTTTTTCAGTGAACATAACTGCATATGGCAATTTACCAAAATAATGTATATCATGCCATCTAGCTTGGGGTGACCAAGGACAATAGCACAGCCTGTGTTGTTTTAGGGGAGGGGCTTTTGGAGACCCCTGACAAACAACATGTAGGGAGACAAGCCACATCCTGTTTGTGAATGCCATTTGGTCTCCTGTGGCAGCTGGGAACAGCACTGATATTTTTGTATATCCTTAAAAGATAATTTTCATTCATTTACTTCGGTAGGCATATTTCCTGTCAGTATGTTTTGTAAGGCTGGGCTGATGGCAATAAGTCAGTTCCATTTTTACTAATCTCAGGTCTTTATTTCTCATTCAATGCTGGGCACAGGATTCTTGTTTGGCAGTTATTTCCCTTCTGGGTTAGAATGCATCATGTTACATCCTCTGACCTGGAGGGTGTTTGTAGTGGAACCGTTTCTTAATGGAGTTATCCTTCAATATGTCTTAGGACTACCCTCTCAGATCTCACAATGCTGTATTTGTCTTGTGCTTTGATTTTTGTATGCCATGATGAGAATCTTTTCTGGTCATATATGTTTGGGGTTCAGTGAACCTCAGCATGCTGATGTCTATGTAGTTCCAGAATTCCAGCATCCCTCTGCTTTTACTACGCTCACTATGTTTTTCTCTTGTGTGCTACCCTTTGTTTCGCAGCCTTTGGATGGTGTTGGTGTTTGATCACTGAATGTGGTGGTATCCCAAAGATACCGAGTGCTTTCTTCATTCTTTCTTTCCCTGTTTTTTTCCTGCTTGAATAAGAAATTTTAAAAGACCCATCTCCACTGTCAGATATTCTCTATTCCGTTTGATCTAACATATCTTTAGGCTTTCCACTGAGTTTTTCATTTGAATTATTGAACTTTCAATTTCTATATGGGTCTGTTTCAAAACATGCATTTCTCTGCTGGATCTGCATTTTATTATCAATTTCAGTGAATGGTTTATCTTCAGCCACTTAGATCTTAGCCATCGCTGGCTTTTTAAAAATCAGTTCTTTGAATTCTCTATCAAGTCTCTCATCCATTTAAAATGCGTTGATGTCTGTAACTTAAAGATTTCTGACCTTTTGGTGATAATCATATGACCCAATTAAAAATATTTCCTGTGTTTCTATGTTGAAATTTGCACATGTAGTAGACCAGTGGTCCCTGCCATTTAATGTTCTTCTGAGTAAGTAATT